ACAACAGTATTTATGATGTAAACTTGCATATCCTAGAAACTAATGGGAATTAATTCACAGCCAGTGGCAACCATAGCCAGTTAGACTGACCTACAGTGAACCCAAACAAGAGAAGTCTCTCTTTTTAGTTTAGATAATTTTAAGCAAGTGATAGCCGCACTAGCTTACTACTTTACTTCAGACCGACTACTCAGTTAAACACCTGAAACTGTTACACTTCATCATGTGTTCTGACTTACCCTGCAGGAGAGCTTTTTCGCTCTGTGAATGATTTCTCCATTGTTATCCATGACTTCCAGGCTCCCACTCTCACTGGAGTTCTCAGATGAGTCATCTCCTTCAACTGCACGTTCTGGGACAGACCCAGTGACTCGCATTACTTCAACATGCAACCGTCCTGCAACCTAAGGAAAGACAAATACTAAGAACCTGTGCACAAGGGACTTAAAAGACATTAAAACGGTATAAATCTAACCCTAGGAGGTGTGCAGAAACAGAACCGAGCAGCTCTCAACCACCAAATGAAAAGCAACAATGTCAATAAAGAGAAGAAAGGAATAATAACAAAAAATTATTTGTATGCAGAACTACTTTTAATTCCTACATAACAGAAAAGGCATACAGTGTCACGGCCATTCATCAGAACCTGGTTTTTGCTGGGTTGTGCTCAGTCACCTACATTGACACTAGGGAATTTTACGCTACTACTGCAGTAGGCAGGCAATTGTAAACAATTAAATGGAAAACATACTCAGCAATTTGCAAAACACTTGCTCACTGAGAAACAAGGCACTAAGCACCGTTTGCTTGTTAGAGCACTGGGTGTAAGTGAAGCCCCCCAGAATGAAGCCGTGCTACCCCGGTGGCTGTGACCTCACTCCCAGGTCCGCCCAGCTCGCCCCACGTCAGAGTTGTCTTTGGCTTTACCTCTCCCTGCTGGCTGATGATGGGCACAGCATACTGCAGCTTTACGTCGTAGAAAAGGCACTCCAAAAACACGTTGGCGACGCCGATTAAGTTGTGATTCTCTTGAGCTTCGTAAAAAGGATCGCCTCTTTTGCCAATGAGCTTCCTTATCTGTTTTAAAGATCACAAAAGTTCTGTCCACAACTGTAAGCGTGGGAACGCAAAAAATCAAACAACCACATAGTATAAGATCCTGGCACAAAAATTAAGTCACTGCCAATCTTTTCTGTTAGAGAAGTAGAAAGAGACTAGAAGCATATCACAAATCTGAAATGAAATCTTTGAGATGAGGCATTATACGATCCTTTCTTTACTATGGGATACAGTAATACGACGACCTACATTTTTTAGTGTGTCAAGGCAAAGCAGATTTTACCATGAGCAAGCACAATAGCCACCGATTTCAAGAAGTTTCACCTTATTTTCTGCTCTGTTTATATCTCTTAAATGAGAGGACAAATCATCCTCAGGTTGAACAGCTGGTCTGGCTGCTGGGTACCATTACAAGGGCAAAGGGAAGGTGCAGAACGAGTCCCACTTAAGCCTACAAGTGTTCTGATGACTCCCATGGAGCTGAGATCATACCTGCAGCATTTTCTATGCGAGTATCCCATACACAGCCACAAAGAATTCATGCAGATTCCTAGCATGATATGCACTCCTCAGTGGGCCTGTTAGCTCCTTCCCTTCTCCTCCTCTTTCATCTTCAACACATGCATTTGACCCATGTGTTTCTATGCAGCACATAGAACACATGCATTATGGACAACATAGGTCATGTCAAGGACGATCCTGGCTCAGGCAGACATAATATATTCAAAGGATGTGCTATCAGTTCTTACTAAAGTCAGCAGCAAAATCATCGTTGTCTTCCTTGGGCACAGCTGAAGTGCTTGACCTCCCCTGTGTTATGATTTTAGAGATTCCCATTGTCCCGTCCAAGGCATGTTACAAAGGCACAACAGCTGTTCAAACATATTTGAGAACGATTCTTGATACAAGTGATTTAGGTGCTCCCTATCAGCCACAAGACAGCAAGATATAGTTCCTATGCACTTCTACCTGGATACTTAGAGGACATCTTCTGGAACACCAAATCTCACGTCTAGCTCTCAACAATAAACAAGCAAGCTTTTGACAAGTCTCACACTCATTTGCCAAGGCTAATATACTACTAAAATTCTCAGGAAATGCCACTTAGTTTTGATGGAGATACTAATGTAGACTAAGTATCTTCTATTGATTTCTTCACTGTTTTAAGGCTGGGAGATATACAAATGAAATTACAGAATATTTCACATTGTAAGATCAAGTTCTATCCCACTAATATGTTCTGCACCTTTAGTGTACCTAGGCAGCATCCTTGCTAGCTTTGATACTGACTGCAATTTAATAATTTTATTTCTAAGGCAGCTTGCTGCTTCCATTCAGAGCTGGTGCCTATCTGCACAGCACCTAAATTGCGCCAGGTAAACTCTTAGTGGTATCGTGAGTCGCCACCTCAGCACAATTGTATCTGATCTCAGCACACTTACATCTGAGAATGCAAGTGAGGATAGGACATAGCTGGGTTTTATTATGCATGGGCATTTTGAATATTTAATATTATTTGTAGTTTTGGGGGTTTTGTTTTTAGCACAATACCTTACCCTTTCGTATACAAAGTCATTGCACTTCATCTGTACAACATATTAAAAGGAGTTGAAAGAAAACGAACTCAATCTCTGATCCCTTTCAGAAAATATATACAATACCTCAGGAATTTTCTCCTTCCACTCTTGATAGAGGTCTCTCATGTCAATCAATTTGTTCTCTAGTTTCTCAATAGTCCACACTTGAGTACCTTTTCCTTTTCTTCTCACTTGAATAGCAGGCTCACTTACCATTGCACCCCTCTAAATCAGAGGAAAAAATAATCACTGCAGGAAAGGTGCATGTAAGTAGTTCAACTTTTCACTGAAACTGCATTCCTAAAAAGGAATAAAATACAGAACATACAGCTTCTCTCTTCATGCGAGCCGTACTCTGTCCTCAAACACAGCATACCCTATACACCTCTGAGGATTCAGACCTTTGTCCTTCTCAGACAACTACCATTCATGTAGGAACACTAATACTCCATCAAATCACTTATGACAAGCATATTATCCTAATTGCTATCATTATATTTACAGCAGTGCTACAACTAGAAAACCCTTAAGACAAAAAAAAACCCGTAGGTATCTGTAACAAAAATCGGTAATTTTTGCAAACATAACTAAAATGCAGGTTCGATAGCAATAGAACACAAATGTTTGTTCACAGACCACACGCACACAGGGTGATAATACACTTGAAAGAACAGCAAGAGCCATACTTAATGCTATGGTCCCATTTTTACTTATCATTATTCACTTTCAATGTATTAAAGGCAGGCAGCACCCACATTTTGCCTATGCATAATCTAACAAAAATAACATTTTATGGCCTCAAGTTAAACGAACATTATATATATCCACATATTTTAGATTAGCCATAAAGCCACATTTTCCAGCATTCGTTTCTGTCATTACCTTTTTGTTGGCACTGAGGTTTTCAGCAGGGATCTGAAGTGTTACTTGATAATCTGTTAGCTTACTCATTTCTTCTGCTAAGAAGTTTGCTTCTCTCACCAGTGTATTTGCCTTTACTATCTGCTCTCGAAGTTTAGCCAGGCTCTGTCGAAACAATTCATCCCTGTGGTGCAGTAGGTAACATGAAAAATAGACAGAAACCTATTTCTATTATTGGAAAGCTGCAAACAGAGGTGCTAACAAAGACTATTCTGAAACCAGTTTAAGAAGAAATGCTGTACAGCACTATGTCAGCAAACAAGAAACAGTGTCAGACCATTTTATTGAGGAAAAGAAGTGATCACATATTAAACAAACTTATTTCTGTTGAGGTAAGGCTAGCACAGTAATGCCCAAACAAAAGGGCACAGTACTATGGAAGCTGTTACAGTGATGGTTTCTTAAAAGCCCTAGGGACATTCCCAATTAAATAATTGCAGCTGTCTTTGTCTTTAATCCGGAGTCTTACTCCACAGAAACCACCAGTCCCAACATGTGAGGTTTCATCTTGATAAAACACGCTTTTCCTAGATCGTGATGTTGAAACCTGCAATCACTGCAGGCCACAGCTTTACATCACAGCTAGGGCTTTGCAGTGCTACAGACCCCCAGACATCCCCCCCGTACACGTAAGCCACATCAAATGTATATATATAAAAAAAAAAAAAAAATCTTAAGTCCTATATACCCAAAGTACCTTTTAAGTAACAGATGACTGAGCACAGGTTAAAGCTTGTGCACTCCGTACAGTTAACAGTCTCTGGACAAATTCCAGAAAGGTTTCTAAGGCTTGTCTGAGCGAATCTGTTCTAACGTAACACCTGGCGAATCTGCTATGACACATACTATACCTGCATCTGCGATGCTAATACATGCTCTCACCTGGGATTCTTGTCTTTAATTTGCCTTTTAAAAGAAGCATCACGATTTATCCTCTGAGCAAACATGAAGTCCCCCTTCCTGTCTTTCTCTGTAATCCCAACAGCACTTACTGCATCTCATCTTCATAAAACTCATGATCAAACTTCAGATATTTCAGTAATTGGTACTCCCCTGTATGAATTTTTTGGGTTTTCTACGCAAAGCCCTACTGAAATACAGTACACGTTGTGCACATACACTTCTCATTTCTACAAAATATGTTATATTACGGACAAGCGTAGGAGGATCAAGCAAACTCATGGGCCTTGCGGTGAATACAGGCAAAGTTTGCCCCTTTGCCTTTATTCAGATAAGCTTAGATCTTTCCTATGTCTCTACAGTACAAGCCACAAACAAGTTAATATGCCTTTCAATCCCCAACAGAATCCTCCTTGAGTGGCTACCTTTTTGCAAAATATCCCAAAGCACAGCCTGGGTAATTCAAATTGCACTCTGGGTTCCTTGACACCATACTGAAATAGTAACCGACCAGCAGCATCGGCAAGCCGCCCTGAATTTTAGTGCCTTCAACATGCTAAAACATGCAGCTTTGTCTCCCTCCCCTATCCAGCCTAAGTTTGCAACCGTGGTGGGTTTTGTTGGATCTTAAATAACTGCTACTATCAGTGGATTTTCAGTCCACTTCCTCCATATCTGCTCACAGCGTTATTCGCAAAATTCCTCTCCTTCTCTCTCTCACTTCTGTTGTCGAGGCCATCAAGATTAAATGAACAATTCCAGACCATGGGAGTGACACATTCCACAGACAGCTGTAATTTTGGATTCACCCAGAAAATGAAGGTAGAGTCAAGAATTACTCACTAAATAGTACTTAATACTGAGAGTGCATTACACCTGCAACCACTGCGAGACAGCTGCCTAGCTTGAGAAACAGAAGGCAGCTTTGATCTCTTAAGTGTTGTAAGAGCCATGGAATTCAGCTACAGCCTTGATCTGGAAAACCCACATCTGGCAAGCTTTTTGGGGAGGCTCCCACACCAATCTTCTCTTAGCTAGATTCTTGAGAAAGGAATGGTTTAAGAGGACTTAGGAGTAACTCAACCAATTATTATGGTAGTTCTCACTACAGTTGTGTTTTTCTGTGTCCAGATGTGCCAGTACCCTTCCAGAAACTTAAGGGGGAAAAAAAAGCTTCAGATAGTATTTCTTAATTCTTACTACAAAAACCATATGGCAAGCTCCATTAGGATATTAACCAAAGCAAATACCCCCTGAACATGAAATCCTGAAACAATCATTTAAGCTGAACACTAAGGAAACTTACATCTGACACTCACAAGGTGTCATTGCAAGTCTCTGAGATTGCTAATGCCAGATACAGAATATGCTGAACTAAATTTCTGTTCCAGGACACCATCACCCCGCCTCATCCTCACAAATTAAATTTGTTCAGACTTACAACGGCTTAACTTTATGCCAACAGGTTTTAACACCAGGTCAGGTATCACCTGTCCTTCCATAGTCAGCATAAAGCCGGAATAAACCCTGTGCAATGTGTTCCAGCTGATCTGACAGATACTACCACATGCCTACATCATACCTATCAAATTCATTTTGCTGGCTGATCTGGTAGAGCTCAGCTTCATTTGCAATGGTAACACAGCGACGGCTAAAACAGCACTAACCAAATCCTGTGCAATCTTGGGTCTTTTCCATGTTCTTCACATCCAGTCTTCCCATTTTTTCCCACATTTCTTGACCTCTGACCAGTTGGCTGGTAAACAGCCTCTCAGCACAATGCTGCCATGCTTTCACAGAAGAAATCCCTCAAAGAATTTTTTCTCTTTCTTATTTAAGAAGATTCTTTTTCTTTTTTGCCCTTTTTTCCCAGAAGCCCAAACCTCTTCTAGAACTTTAAACAAAAAGCATACTAAGAGGATCTTCTGGAGGACAGGAAAATAATTAGTTCTTCCAGAAAACTGCTTATTCAATGGCAGCGTCACCAAAACATTATCAGACTCCTTATTTGGACAATGCAGTACAGTCTTCAACAGTTCAACAGTTTATATAGAGTATATATTCATTCACCCATGAAATCCAGAGGCAAAAATGATTGTTCAAAGCACAGCTCCTCCTAAGAAACGTCTAACAACTACTGAGAAGAGAAGGCTGGCAGAACACTTCGCCTTGATGTCACTCCAGATTCTCATTTTTCATGTCATTACATGGTTGTGGCGGTTGGTTAATTTTAAGTTGATCAATTACAATTTTTTGTAATTGTACAATTTCAACTCTCAAGGACAGGCAAGAAGATTTCTGCCACTTCCTTTTCCCTTCTGTTGCGTCTTTTTAGAGGCACGTCTTCCCTTGCCAGTAAGCCCAGTTCTCATCTCTGTTACCGAAGGGAGTTATTAACGATCTCTTGATGGCCTGGCTGTCCTCAAAGCAGTTCTGAATAGCAATGATTCCAACTAGTGTGTTTCTCATTTTACACTTCTGCAGCCCTAAAAGAGCCTGCGAATCCCAGCCGTGACTCTGCAATGCTTTACATTCAGTTCCAAATGATTCTGGTTTTAGCTCTTACAGGGGCAAACAACCACTTGAATTTACAGTTGAAACACACCACTACTACTCCCTATACCTACCACGGAAAACATTCTGGTCATCTCTGGTCAACAGTTTATTACATTTGTTTAGTTTTTTTTCACAGGCCGAACTGGGCAGAAATTACAAAACAAAACCTTGCACAAAAACTAAACAAAGATCAGTTCTGTTCTAACACTGAATTTGAAAGCTGCAACACAATCTTGGCTATCTTTGTTTAGACTCTTTTTTTTTTTTTTTGAAATGGTGGAGAATGAGGCAAAAATAATCAAAATAGGAAAAAGCACTCAAACTCACTACATATAGAAAAAAGTCTGAGAGAATAACAAAGCTTCTGTTTCAAAAGAAAAGAGATTAAAAAGAAACAAGAAACCTGTTAGTACATCCGGTCATTCAAAAAAAAAACCCAAGGACAGAATACTCATTTATATGCTTAAAACTTAAATCATCTTGGTTGCTGCTACCTAGAATTTCTTCCCATGGAGCTGACGTCCTTCTCTCCCCAATGATACTAAAAACAAGCTTCTCTCATTGTCAAGATGCAAACACACACATGCTGCTTAAACTCTGCTCACATCTTCCTAGTTGGCTTTTTACCAAGGCTGCATTCAGAAGCCATGCTATTCCCTTGTGAAGAGGCCTTTTCATCTCATGGCACGCCTTTTACTTCCTAAATAGCTCAAACATATTCTATTGGATTATTCTGCAGTTCTCAAATACACACCAATGCTCTTCTAAAGCTGGGCTTACTTTTAGAAATACATACATATAACACTGAAGGACACACATTTTCTGTATTTTTTTTTTATGGTTTTAGATTGCAAAATACCATGCTCTCATTGTATACCCTCAACACACTACACTTCTTAGTGGACTCCTTAGTCTGGGTTGATAAATTTACCTCTGCACTATCCTTTCCTTTCTTTCCAGAAGTAACTTAAATAAGAATTGCTAAATCAAGCATTTCAAAGCACTTTTCTAGTTAATAAAACCCCAAACGACACAATAAAAAAAATATTATAATGCTGATCAACAAAAGTTAAATTCTTATTTCATTTGTGTGTTAAATCAATCAGGAAGATCTTGTATGCATGTCATACACAAGAACGTAGCGCTAAATGAAATGCTAACACTTTGGTGCAGGCAGATCTTGCACTGCATGTCAACTCTACCACAAAGTATCAGTTTCTGACAGACGGTTTAAGCCCCATCTTTCACCCTTTGCAGTTCTTATTAATTCCTTTGGTTTAACTCCAGTGTTCTCACCTCTCTTCTGTCCAGAGATTTACTTTCTGCTGTGCAGTCTGAGCGGTGTAGGAGAGTCTGTCGCTGCCGTGCTGATGCTGCCTTTCTGGAGAGAGCTGCTGTCGCAACAGCTCTAACTCACGTTCGTACATCAGCCGCTGCTCCTCAAGAGCACTCCGCTTCTCTTCCAAGTACTGTTTCTCCAAGATCTGGACCATGTTTTGTACTGGATCTAAAAACGGGGAGGGTGTAGGAAAAAAGAAAGAAAAAAACACACAGAAAAGTGAGAAAATGCCATTTCAGCATTACAGAACACTCATTATTTATTTAGTAGCAGCAATCAACATATCCCAGTCTTCGCAAACAGAAGATGGTCATTGCCCTCAAACCAAAAGCCAAAATAATAAATACTGCATTAAATAAATAAGCAGAAACAAGAAAAAAGTATGGCATGCAAAGAGGCTAGAACAATGGTTAAGACCCTTGTTTACTGCATACTTCAATACTGTGAAGTTACAGTATGTTCCAGAATCCGAGTAGGAAAAAAAGAATAGATGGAAAAGGAAACAAATCAATAATAAGAAAATAAAGCAGAATACAAGGGAAGATGATGTTAACCAGAGAAGGGAAGAACTTAAGGAAGTAAGAAGGAATTTGCTCTCTCCGTTTTGATAGAGAATGAATCACGTTGGAGCGCTGCAGATGAAAACTGAGACAAACAAACTGTTTGACCAGTCACACATCGCATTGCACCAATGCGCCTCACAGCGTGGAAGAAGAGAAAGCACGTTCCGGAGGGGACTTCTGCATTTAGCTTTACAAACCACATTTTGCCTCTGCATCAACCCAGAACAAACACCTTTCTGGATACTCTATCCTGAAACAACAACTGCTTGTGTCAATCAGCTATGGTTAAACCTAACTCACATTCAAATTAAAGAAACATTACTCTGTCTATTCCTGGTTTTAGGTCCAATACCACACTGTGTCTCTGAAAGAGCCACTCAATGGAATAAGCTCCTTCTGTATACTACCAGTATATATCTGCTTCATCTATATACATCTGAAAGCTTAAATACAGCAAAAAAAGTGGTTTGCAAGAGGACCAACCTAGATGAACATGAGTGACAGCACATCACCTAACAAATTGCTAATTCTGTACATCAGAAGGGGAAGGGAAAGGAGTTCCACAGTTGGAGTGGTGGATTATTAGGGAAAGCAACATTGCAGCTCTAGGGCATGTCAGGATTTTCAAAACCAAAAAACTTCAGCTTCTAAATAATAGTTTGTGACACCTCTTCCATTTTGCAAATATATTAAAAAAAAAAAAGAGATACTGTGACTTTTAAGGATGCCAGTCTGTCACAAAGGAAGGAGAAAACTAAACCTAGATTTAACTACACTGTCCCACTTTGGAACGTGTGTGCTTCTCAAAAAAAACCTCCCAAAAAGTATCAGTGTGATTTAGTTATGAACCATCTTGCCTTCATTACCAAAACCCAGTCCTTGTAAGATTTGGTACAAGCTTTCCTGATACCACAATGCTACATGAAACAAAATCTGTGTTACTGTAGCACGCAACAGAGGATTCACATGAAAGGTTCTGTAGAGCTTCCATCACTAGCAGTGTACGTTGGTCTCCATAACACGTACATACACTCTCCCGAAAACCACATCACTTGTATCTTTGCAAACCAACGTAGCATTAGCATACCTAGTAAGCTGTAACAACTTACTCAGTACTGAAACTACTGTGATCAATTTTGTTACAGATAAGCTAACTGCCTGTCTGCAATTTCAACACACATGGCCATTGAGGCAAGTCACTTCACAAAACAAATCCTTCCTATTATGAATGCCAGAGAAGCAAACACAATCTCCAGGGTTCTGTTGTTACAGTGAGTTTGTATTTGCCTCTCAGCATCCTTTTTTGAAACACTAAGATTGATGTAAAGCACCTCTATTTTTAACAAACACTACTGCAAGTTGCTACTGTGGCCCTGGCCGTATCCATGGAAGAAATCACTGACTCCACACAAAGGCATCATAAAATACCACCACAATCGTAAAAAAAAAAAAATCAGTCAGTATAAATAGCAACCAAATAGCAAAACAGTGATGCATGGAAGTGTCTTAAAATAACCAGAAGTATTACTTTTTAGTACATGATATTCTCAGAAAGCCAGTTAGCTATTTTTAGCTTTTAAACAGACAGCGCAACTAAACCAACTGTACCAAGTTGTAATATCCTAGACTACAAACCAAGACACGCATGTAGATCTGCATCCTCCTCCTCCTCCTAACTTCTCCAGATAATACCAGAATTACCTTCACATGCATGGCTTTTACTGGATAATTTCTATAATTGTTTTCGATATGTGTGTGACAAAGGTTGAGAAATCAGGCATTAGGCAGAGACAGAGAAGAGGCATGGAAGAAATTATTCTATTACCCTCTATTGTGTTTGCAAACACAGGAAACGAATCTAAGGCTGACTCATTAAGACAGGACTTTCCTAAACCACTCAAAGACCAGCTCCAAGTTCAGGGAGCAGATTTCCTTAATAAAAGTGATCTTTTCAGCCACCAAGATTTACAGGACCACAACCACCACAGCATCAAATTATATCATGGAAAGCATTTGGACCAAGATATAAGAACCTAGTCTAAAAATTTCAAATTTCAATGAAATCCACTACTGTTTGGGGAAAAAAAGGTTGGTTGTGCTTGGACTGAAATATAAAAGGTAAATTTACACTTTTAGAAAAGTCTTCTATTTAACTTTTGAAAGAGTTTACACAGAAAACCCTCAGCCTTCCATAGTGAAAAAGCAAAACATTGTGTGAATTATAAACTATCTAGTTAGAAGATGAAAAAAATAGTCAAATTTTTCACAATTCAAAGAACTACAATAGTGTTTGTTAGAATTAAGCACCATGTTCCACAATTTTGGATTTCTCATGCAAAGTCAAATGAATTGGGAAAGATTCTACCCAGTGCCTGCCAAATGCACAGCAAATTCCCTACCGTGTTAAAAGTCCCAAGTCCCCATCCTTTACATGTTTTTGTGACAAGAGTTCACGCGTAGACCACTCATATGCAGTTAATCCTCTGCAAAATGTTAGAGTCTTAACATTATAAGAGAAGAATGTACTTTCTCCATAGGAAGAACAGCATTTATTACCTTGCTGCAATGTCACTTAAATCACAGCTGGAGTCTGTTCATCCAGTAACAAAAAGGCAGAATAAATTCCTGAAGATCTCATGTAAGTGCACCTTTCTAAGCAAGCTAGAAGGTTATGGCACAGGCTGCTTTGCTAAGCTTCATCAAAATCTCTACTCTGAGCTCTAACAGTTTGTTGTTTGCTTGAATGAGAAGCTGTGCAACCTAATCTCATTACTTATCACTGCACCATCTACGAGAATAAAGTAAACTTCTTCGCTGCATTCTGTGTTTGCCCAGCATCACAAATTAGCAGCACAAAGCTGATCTGACAGAATCCCAGAAAGGTGGTGAACATACTGAAGGGAGGAAGGAATCCAGATGTTTTCTTTACAGCTGTTTTCAAGCTTTCAAGTTTTCCTCAGAGCTCCTCTGGAGCCAGATGCAATATGTGACATTGTTTTACTGGTTACATGCCATAAAAACAAATGTGTTTGCGCCCTGGAGAAGCTACGGTATTTATTTAAAGAGGGTTACTGCTCTTGAATAGGTCAAGGGGGAACAAAACCCAAAACAAAGGAAAATCAGAAACTCTTGCTTTGGGCTGTATCAAATCACTGATGTGAAAGAAAAATCCCAAATCCATACATGCCTATAAAATAATTATCTAATGAAATTTTTAAGATATCCCTTTATCGCCCCCCTAGGGTTTCACCAGAAGATATAGATAACAGAATTAACTGTCTTCAGTTATTTAATTATTTCTTCTTCCTGATCCATATTTATTTTTCATTTTAAGGAAGAATAAATAAATAGTATTGCAACAAAGCTGCTTTACTTCTTACCCAACAAACGGAAAGCCTGTCAGAAAAAACTTTATTTTAGCTGTACCACTGAGGAGAACAGAACCTGGAAGTGCTATCCAGCTTCAAATCAAAAGATCAGCCTATGATCCTCAGAGTCACTTATTTCGTCAAGGTTTTATTATCACTTACTACTCCAACTTAGTTAAGCAACACCTAAGGGAGCAGAAGGGAGCAGAAGAGACAAGAAGCAGAATAACTCAGTTCTGATGTCTCTGAAACTGTGCAACATGTGCGACTGCTAACACTCCCTGTGCACTAGGGAAGAAAGAGCTCTAAGGAACAGTAATGTCTGCACTGTTCTTGAGCAAAGACACAGAAAACAACCAATCAAGACAAAAATTGGCCTGGACCACAATCCAGCCTAAAACAAAGCCTACTGGACTAAAATGTAAAGACGCTTGAAATATTGTGAAGAAACATTTCCATCAGCTAGATAACACCACATGAAAACAAAAAAATGACACCCTCTGTCCAAAGAACACTGACTCATTGCAGACTACTACAGTTTAGTCAAATCTCCGGTTAGTGACAAGCAGACCAAGCATCAATTAATGCTTTCAAACTTCTCCGGCAGACTCATGCATGAGCCAATCGAGTTCAAAACCTTTGTCCCAGTTTTGGCACAGATATGGGATGGTTTGAGGCCTTAAGACAGGCAACAGAATCTTCACAAGAGATGACAACACTGAAGACCACCAGGATGGCAGATTCATCGGAAATTCGTCTCCTGGTATAAGTGAACCATAGTGAGAATATTTCTGTTATCAAACAGTAATTGCACATCAATTTAAATCCCTAAGCCTGTAACTTACTCACACAAGCAATCCCATTAAAATCAAACTGTAAAAACCCTGCAAACTATTGCTAGAGCATCAAGCATATGAAACCATCATGCTGTACTCAACAGCAAAACAGAGAGTTAAAGAGGAGTCTAAGTAAAAAGTATATACTGTATTTCAGCACGTAAACCATAGCAAACAATGGAAATACTGCAAGGATATGAAGAAAGCAGAACAGGAAGCAATGAAACACCATCTACTGTGTCTTCTTGGTCAGTGACGAAAAACCAAGGCATTTGCCTTTCTAATTTTGTGTATTAAAAAACCTGTATAAAGCATTTAGTAGTTTACCAGAACTTCCTCATACCATATTATATCACAGGAACTATGACTTTGCCTTCTGAAAATCATGAAAACACCGTATTGTTTTATATATACCATGTAATTATTTTATATAGACTGTATTTTATTATACTGTCCAAAAAAGGCATGACAATAGGTTTTAACAACGATTAGATAAAATATTGAGAGTGACCAAGCATTAAAAACCATGCTAGCTGACATATGACTATTGGTTTGTTACCATTTCAGTGTTTTTCTACTAAGGTTAAAACACTGTCAGTAATATTTGATACAAAAGGAAGGATGAAACTAACTGAGCCATATCTGGAGCACCCTTTTGTCCGCAGTAACTTGCAAAAGCAAGAGGTTAGTAGCGCTTGGATGATTATTTGACAGGCATAGGATTACAACTCTGCACTATAAAAGAAGTAGATGTACAGATAAAAGTTTTGTGTCAGGGCACAAACTGACATATTGATTTGTGCGTGTATTTACACCTAGGTGCATATATTTTTTTATTTTTATATATTTATTTTATATATATATATGTACATACACGCACACATATATATGTATATTAAAAAATCTTTTTCTGAAAAGGCTCCAAAGGCCCTTGGAGCAAGTGCATCACTTGTTTTACCTAGAAATTAAGTTCCATGCTGAATTTGTTAGACCATCCAAAAGAACATTTCTATTTGGCCTTACCGTTACTATTCAGTGTCTTCATAATAACTTCCATTTGTGCAAACTCGTAGTTGTAGTCTGGTTCCGAAGAAGCTTCACTAGCTGCATCCAGATCATGTTCTCCTAACGAGGTTTCTTTCTCAAGGTCTTTCAGCCAATCTCGTCGTTTCCTCTTTGGTAAATTGATCCTGTGTAAAAATTGAAATTCAGTTTCTAAAAAGTTTATGCAGAACAGTGGAAGGAAAAAAAAATAGGCTGAATGTAAAGAGGCTGGAATGTAAATATCGACTATTACCTAAAAAAGTGGTTGTTTCCCCATAATATTCTATCTCCATGCCATAACTGAGTGACAGAACATACCAGTGCACCATTTACACAGGATCTGAAAGAAGAAAATACAACTTCGGTGAAATCCTAAAAATAAAAGGTTGAAAAGTAACTACAAGATCTACTGTTTCTCCCATCTACAGACAGTGACTGGTATCATAAGATGCAGAAATCTGCTAAGCTCTCACTAAAGAATCAATGGGAAAGTTACTGGTCTGATTTCTACTGTCAGAATTAAACACGAAGCACCTTTCCCCTACAGCTCTGGCTGGTACAACTCTTCAGTAAACATACAGACAAGGTTGCTTTTAGTTGCACAGCTTTCTTTAAGTGCCCTTGTCTCAAACTGGGTCACTGCCTGTTTCTTATAAACAGTCTGTAAACTTGGATGCATGCAAGTCCTACTGATAAAGCTCTCCAAGACACAAGTTAGTCAACACAGTCGTAAAACACACTGTTAACATACTAGGCATTCAAGCGTAAGAAAAAACCCTTAGATCTAAGTTTCATTCTTTCAACAAGTGGAGTCTGTATTATTAACAAGGGTCTATTTTTGTGAACATCTGGCATACTGCTACATTTGCATTTAGGTTTCTTTGTATTTAAGTTTCAATCACAAAATGGGAAAAATGGAGTTGTTGAACTTTTGCATATGTGAATTAAAAAGCAGAACGTTTTATTTGAAAAGAAAAAAACCTTAAGTAAAATGAAAAAAGCCTTTTCACATGCAGCGTTCTGAATCCAGCTGTCTCTTTCAAGTAAGTCAACACAAACATGTAAGCATTTAATTTAAAACCAAATTTTTTCATTTTTTTCAATTAAATTCAGGTAATTAAATTTCTGTTGACACTAGTATATTAAGAATAGCTACTTAAACACTGCAGATCAGGCGTGAGTAAAACAAAATATATTTTTTACAGTGACATGTGCCTTTGTTCATGCCAGTCAAAATGACTGATTTCCAGTACAGTAACTATCACAAGTCTGAATCCCTTCTGTTTGAAATTTTATACCGTAGGCTGCAGAAGAAAAATGCAAATGCTAAGAGGTATTTTACTGAAGGCAGAATGAAAGAGAGTAGATTTTTTAAAAGGTGTGTCTAAAACTTTTATTTCTGATTCTAATACTAATCTACACATTATTTAGATATTCAGATCTCAGACAAGCAGCATGACTATTAACTAGGACGAAGGTAGAGCTTATCACACACCATTGAAGATGAAGTGACATTTACAATTCTACCCAAGAAGCCACAGTGCCCCCCTAAATGAAAAATAATTAAAATACAGAAGTAGAAACAAAAGGAGAAATGTGACTTCACACCGCATATTTACTAGACATAACAGTAACTAAAGATTTAGAAAAGAATGTAAATATCTTCAGATCTTTAAAACACCTCTCTCTCACAAAATACTGAGTTTCACAACAGGAATTACTCACGAGGCACGATTTATCCTCCCCCATCAAGATACAGCCTGCTATACCATTGCACGGGTTGGAATAGCCAGCAGTATCTCATTGATCCTGTTAGCATCCAAGATACAGACAAGCAATGGTCCCTCATTCCTCCTGAATACCTTCCTCCAATGGTTTATTCTGAGCCAAACCACTGTAGCCTGCTACACTGCAAAGTGGGTGGGGAAATCTCAATTATATCGCTGAATTTCACTTCCAAGTATAGAATCATAGAATCATAGAATGGTTAGGGCTGGAAGGGACCTTCAAAGGTCATCTAGTCCAACCCCCCTGCAAGGAACAAGGATATCTCCAACTAGATCAGTATCTCTAAGTCACCTACATTGAAGCTACTAGTCGATCAGAATGTAAGATACTTCTGACTACGTAAAACAAAAATGCATGCAAGTTACCTTCCAGTAAAGAAAAGCAAACACATCACTGCAAAGCACTGCTATCTTCCTTACCTTGCATTTTCTTTTGGTGTGAGAGTAACTTCCCCATCTAAAGCAATATCAATCTCACAGTGTTCTGGTTGGATTCCTATACCAAAGAGCTGTATATCCTGAGAGGTATCTGCACCAACTCTTGTGTGATCCTAGAAAATAAGCTGTTATTAGAAGACAAGCAAACTACCACTGTTTATATAACTAAGACAATATTGGCTAAAGCATTGAGACTGCACAATCTATGTGCTCTCCTTCGCCAAGCACTTCTGCAGAGCAGAAATGGTTCCACAGCAGATCTAAAGACTGTAAAAGCAACACACAAACTGTTTTTCTACTCTGCATTTTATCTTCATACAGTTTTAGATAAAGCAAAGTAAAGCAGTTGAAGCACAAATTTTGGTTTAAAAAAATATTCTTAGACTGTGCTTGCATAAAAGCAATAATGCAAATAGTGAAGAAAACCAGCCATGTCATATAGCGATATATAACGGAGGACAACATGGACAGTAAAACAAGGAGCACAGAGTTGACTGCTTTTCAGAGAACAGCTATACGGCAACTCAACTAAACATATTGATCTCTACATAATTTCAAGTCTACTGTAAATTCTGCTGAAATACTATACTTTGCTGTTGTTAGAGAAGTTGTGCTTTATTTGCTACTGTTCAAATACAGAAGCCCTTTCTCAGCCACTAAAGTAGAAAAGTAACTATAAAACCAGACATGATAGTCGTTCATATCTTACTGACAAGGAGCTCACGCTTCCTTACAAACGTACTAGGTTTGTATTTGACACCATTTCACTCTGACATGAGACTATGCTAAACAGGACAGTATGAAAGCTAGCGGCACTAAGAAAATACATTTCTGTAAATTTTTTTCTCTTAAGCTTTTCTGTCATCGAAGACTATGTTTACTCTTACCGATTACCACTAAACATCATCTCTTTATGATTAATTCATTGAATATTTAAAGCAATCCTCAGTTCGCTAACAAAAATGAGCATCTAACATGAGGCGCTCACTTCAAGTTCAGACCAAAAGGCTATTCACATCCTGTCTGGAAAAGCTAGAATTTATCTCAACACTGGCACACACTGAGCACTTCTCCCACTGTTGGCAATCAGGAGATCAATTAGGAAAACAATGAAGCTGAACTGCAAAAGGAGAACAAAAGCCTTAACAGCAGGAGGAGGCCTATCCTAGCCTTAAAAATCTAAATACACTCTGAATAACAAATTAAGCCAGAAATTCAAAACAATAAACAAGAGTCCTTTCATTATGTGTAAACATCCTGTTTACATTCTTACCTTTAAATAGTAAACCAAAAGCTCATTGAGTGCAGGGTCTGCATTCAGGTTCACCAGGTAACACTTGTCATCCCCAACCTTGATACCAGAGGACTCAAGAGAAATTCCCATGCTCTCTAACTGTCTCTGCCTCTCCTGCAAGCAAAAAAATAGGTTATCTTGCCTGCTGCAATAGGTAGAGAAGTACAGCAAGTAAATGAAAGCAGAGCAACTAAAGCTGAAGATGCACATGATGAGCATGCATTACATATATCACTACCAGAAAAAGAACTTAAGACATTGATTGGTCAAGAATCATATGTTTAACAGAATTTATTTTTACACATCAACAATAAAAAGTTAGATTTAATCCTCAAAAAGTGGAACTTACTTACCTAAGCAGCCCTATCGGTTTTATCAGAGCTTCTTGTAAGTAACACAATGTGGCTTTGAACCTTTATGTTAGTTAAAAATTAATCTCAGTTGCAGTTACTTCAAAGATAATCATAGCCATAGATAATTTAGAAAATAGCATGGCACAGTTTAGGTTTATTCTTTTGCAGTATTATTATTAGTTCAGCTAAAGCATCTACTTGATCACACGTCTTTCGCTTTGCTACAGTTTGGGGGTTTTTTGTTTGGCTGGTTGGGTTTGGTTTTTCCCCCTGCCTTTTATTTATTTAAACAGTGGTTGCACAAATGCATACTTCTAGAACATTAGGACTAGAAAGGGAAACCAATAGCCATTCTCCAAGCTATAGATGGTGGAAATGATGGAAAAGTACACTGGAATCCAGAAGTCTTGTTTTAAATACGATAATAAAAATGACCAAACATTAGTGAATACATGTACACATTTTTCTTCTCTGGTTTAGAAGTCACTAAAAGCAAAAGCAACAAATACTGCCCAAAATTCTGAACCTTTTGTGATTCTTCATTTTCTTAGTCATTTCAAGGGAAACACATCCAAGATCCTACTGGGGGTCTTATAAATGAGCTGCCCAAACAGATTTTGTTATTTCAAAATAAAATATTAGCTTTTATCAATGATATCATGGCCTAGCTACATTTATTCTAATGAAACTTAGATTTAAAAAAAAAAAAAAAAAAAAACACAACAAACAAAGAAACAGAACAACCTCAAAAAACATGAAAAGACAAAAAGCCAGCAGAATTCTAACTAGCTGGTGGGGAAGACAGCATGGTCCACTAAAGCTCATGAAATTCAGCTGACTTGCACTATATCGGTATCTAGTCTTTCCTCCATAAAATTTCCGGAATACCTGCGCAATTTCTTCAGTTTTCCTTAGCTTTTCTTCCCAGGTAACTGTTAGCTCTTTTATTAGTTTTTCAGATTCTTCCAATTTTTCCTTCAGTTCTGGTGCCTTCATAGCCTAAAAGATACAAATCAGCAAAAACCTTCAGCTACTCTTCCCACTGCAAGGTCCGCTTGCACAAGGAAACTGAACACAGCAACAAAATATGAAATGCAACAAGTAGAGGTTTCAACTACATCCCCAGGTTTTTCATGGCAGAAGAGGAAGAAACAGGTCACTTGCAAAGGAAGAGGACGGAATCAGCCTGTAACAGGTCTGCATCTGAAATAGCTGAAGATCAACATAGCTCCAAAGGCTAATGGAACCAACAAAATCTCTGGGCCTGGCCACTCAAGCTTCACTGTCTGTACAAGAACATCTGAACTTTTAAAATCTTTAAGTCTTAGCTGTCTAAAGTTCAACTGCAACGTTTTTCTTCCAACATTAGTTTCAAACACAAATTCCTCTTGATACTTAGCCGTCCACTCTATCCTGGTTTTGTAAGTGTTCCTAGAGTCACCTGAAAGCTTTCAGACTGACCCTGTTGATTACCTGCAAAGGAAGGCATGCTCTGGAGCTAACGCAAGCTTCTCCTTTCACAATCAGAAACAAAAGCAAAGGGCTCAAATATGTCCAGTGCCAGGTAACAATTCAACAGGCTGGCCTATAGCTCCATATAACTGTTTTTAATGGAAGATGTAAGAGAAAAAGCTTTCCAAAAAAATTAGTAAGACTTTGGACACCTTCCTACCGCTTGTGTTCAGCCACGGTGTACCAACATAACTAAGAACGTGCTGTAACAGTATTTTCTGATTTAATATATGGGATTAGAACAGAATTTCATTTACCAAAAAAGTGAACAGCTGCTTTTTCTTAAAGCAGATTTCAGCCTGTAAGGAACTGATCATACAAAGCACACTATTCCTTAAATGAACACGAAGTTTAAACACCACAGAAACTTACTCGCAGACACACTTAGAATCATAGGCTGGTTTGGGTTGGAAGAGACCTCAAAGATCATCTAGTTCCAACTCCCATGCCATGGGGCAGGGACACCCTCCACTACACCAGGTTGCCCAAACCTGTTCTTTATTCACCAGTATTCAACCCACTTTATTCACCAGTATTCGCCCCATTTCTGTTCTTTATTCACCAGTACTTTGTGTCTTGCCTGAAAAGATAAAAAAAAATATTTTCCTACAGTGCAGTGCCTAATTTCTCCAGATGTCACCAAGTAAACTATCCCACCCTGATACTTTACTCTCCAATTAGAAGTATAAATCTAAGATAAGCAGCAGTCACAGTGTTAACTGTGAAGGCAGTAAAGCAAATTGCTGATGGTTTTGGTGTTACGCTTTTGACAATTTTTTATAAATTTTCACAAATGTCAAGGAGAGAAAAGTCCCACATATTTTGTGGTCCAATATAAGACTTATGGCTTTTCACACTTTTCCATTTGACATCATAAAATTATATAGTCCACCAATGCTGAAAAAATTTCTGCTAATAAGCCTACCAAATAAAGTTGTACTTGAGCTCTTATCTGTGCTGCATCAATTACTGACATAAAGCTCTTCAAGAACAGTCTATTCTGACAAGAGTCACTATCGGTACAATGTTGTCATTAAAAAGTTGTTAAAAATAAGCAAACATTATGTTAGATTTATTTCAGAAAACAAGGTTAATTATTTAAAAAAAAAAAAGCACAAGACTCTTCCTTTCCTCATTTGTAAGACTTAAAAAGAAAGCTAGTCTTCCAGCCAGAGTCTGACATTTCCTTGGGAAACTCAGTTTATGTTGTACTGCGAATACTGTTACCTCAGCTTGTGAGAGCTGCTCTTTCAGTTTTTCAACTTCTTCACGCAATTCTCTGATGACCCTAGCATTTGGATCTTCATTCACCACTGCATGATTAACTATCCTTTTGGCTCTGTCTGCGTATCTCAGAGTAGAGAGTGTTTCTTCATAGTTGTCTGCTGCTGGACTAATTGTGGCTATCATAGCAGTTTGGCTGTTTCCTCCCAAGTTGTCCTGCAGAGTGCAACCACAGAAAGTTTGAGTGTTAAAAAGTGTTTTAAGACTGTACAATGTCTTTACAAAGATACTTAAAATACAAAACTTACTATTTAGACACTGAAAGGTACTCCGGATGTAAACTAACCAATATGATCCATAAACATTTCCAGCTGCCTCCACCAGCTTTGATTCCACTACAACTGTAAACAGCCAAATAGGACTTTACATAGAATTAACACAAGATACACTTAGCTGTCCATATTACTTGGAACAGCTTACAGCTATGACACCTCCTGAGCTCATTTCTTCAAAAAAACAGATTAGAAGACCACGTACATAGAGGTATGCTACAATGATCATATCCACTATTAGATGACATCTTGTGAACAGGGTGAACAGAAAATATTAATTACCTTGAGAAGCCAAGTGAGTACAGAGTCTCTGTAAGGCACAAACTTGTTTTTCCCCTTCCCTGCTGCTTGGTCAGCAAGTGATGATATAACCAAGCCCAGCGTTGAAAGCGACCTATTAACGCAACACAGAAGAACAGCTTTAACACATATTTCAAATGTAGATTTAATAACACACAGAAAAGGGAATTTAGAGTTAAATTTGTTAGAGTTTAATTTGTGCTCTGCAGAACTTGACATCCAATTTTTACAATATCACAGAACAACTTAAGTTGGAAATGACCACAGGAGATCAGATAGCCCACTGCCCTGGTCCAAAGAGGGCAATGTATTTATTAAAGCTACATATATGGAAGAAAAGATTGCTGTCTACAGTGTTTCATCTCATCTGGTACTAAGACCAAGTTCCAGGAAGACTGAGACGAAGCTGAAATATTCAAGTGTTTAAAATAGTTTGAAAAGTGTAAAGCAGACTGCTTCAGTACATGGAGAATCACTGCCTTTGCTTAGACACCTACCTTTTCTCAGAGACTAAAAATCTTTCCATCCTGGATGCTGCCTCGTGACACTCTTACGAGTCAGCATTGGCAGCACAGCAAGAATCCCCTGTCTCTAGGAACAATGTTTTAAGAGCACTGACTCAATAACAGACTAAAACTGAACAATTCTATATCCATAAGGAGGCATTCTCAAGACAAAGACAGCTATGGCCCAGAAGAACTAGTCTGCCTGGTGAAACAGTAACTAATCAGCCATCACACAACAATGGAAGACTGCTCATCAGAAGAGACTGATTAGGAGGTCCCCTGACAAATGGGTTGACATAATTGAGGAGGTGCCTCACTAGCTTCTTGTGGGGGGAATGGACCAAATAATCTCCCAGTTACAAAAATGTTGCACAAACATGAAAGAGAAAAGAGCCCAAATTACTTAGCAGACAGCCACATCCCAAACACCACTCTAGAATTGTGAACAAATACAGGTAACTCGTTCATTTTGGTACACGTACCACTTCTACCGACAGGGGTAACTGCATTAGCAATCTGTGCAAAGAATCTGTGCATTATGTAATCCAATTGTTATACAATCCTGTGTAAATTTTAAGTGACATCAGGGCTCTTTGGGTGAGTATGTTTAAGATAATGAGCCAGCTCAGGAGCCTGGGAACATTAAACAGATACCTAAAGGGTTTTAAAACAGACAGCACTGAAGCCCAAGAGCATACTGGTCTGTCATACTCATGCTCAATTATCCAGCTGCTCTTTATAACTACCAAGGAGAACTTCAGTACCATCGTAATTACACAGTCAAATGTATCTTTAATTGTACTGTTCCACTCCAATCTTTTGAGTTTTCTTTTCAAAGCAGTAGCACTATTTCAGTTGATAGAGTGTTTGCCCAGTTTGTAACAGGGCCTTAGAGCTGCTTGAAACTACCAGTGGTTCAGAAATAACATTTAGAAGATGACAAAAATGTTGCAGAAGACTATTTCAAGGAAGACATCTGAGGGTCAGGTGACAAGAACCATTACATGTATCAAAAAAGATGTCTCATACTGCATATAGCATGAAGTGGTATGAAGATATAGCATAGACCTGAAAGCAAAATTAAAAGAAAAATAAATTTAAGGAGAGGCTAGGCAATCTGATCTCCCAAGAGAACATTCCATTTTGTAAATTTGTCTGTGGGATTACTTTCCAGTTCACCTCTGAAAACTTTGCAGCAAAAAGGACAGTGAGTTTTAGTTTGTGACCTAAACAAAAGCCTAACAACCTCTGAAAGCTTGTGAGAGGGAGATGGAGGAGGGAGAATTGGCTTTTGTCTCCAATCTCTGGTCTCCACAGACAGAGATGACAGCGTGCTAAACATGCGAGAACAAACAGGAGGATGCAGTATGCTGCTCCGTAGCAGCCTCCTACAGCACAACTGAAAAGCACCACCAGCATATTCCCAATGGAGTCACCTTCAAGAAGCATCAAGTTAAAAAATCACCCTGACCTATTTTCCTCCCATTCCTCTTTCTCTCTTTAAACAAGGGGAAATGTGAAAAATAAAGCCAAAAAGAAAAGGACACTCAGAAGAGGGATGGGAAGAACCGGGATGCAAAAAGGCCCATCATGAAAACTTCCACAACAGGGCTGCAACACCAATTTGAGTTATGGGCACTGTATTTTAATGAACAGGAAATTATAAGCTACACTTTATTAACACAGGATTAAAAGATGTGATAATACTCCTGCTCCTTATAAATACTGATTTTATTTCAAGACTAACTGTTAACGTCTGCAATAAAAGCAAAACTGGAGTCTTTTATGTATTCTGCTTGAGATTTCATAATACAAAGCTGTCTAAAGACTTTAAGGAAAGCAGTAAAAGAAACGGCTGCCCAACAAAATAATTAGAGGGCTCATGGGCTGCTTTGCTTCATGCTAAATGCCGCATCAGAGATCTGTCATTACTTTGATCCTATCTCACGCTGCTTACATAACGAATCAAGCAGAAGGCCTCAGCCCGGAGCACGCAGCAGACTGAGGCAGGTCAGAAGCAGCAGAGTGAACTGAAATGGTGCAAGAGCCTGGGAAAGCCCCATTGCTGCACACTTGCTGTTCTCGCCCCTATTCCTCAGGCACCCCCAGGCTGCCCTTGCTAGCCGGAAGCTTGCAGACTCCCACTGCGGGCCTGAGCCAGAAGCGTTGGAAGGGAAGCGGTGCTTCCTCACCACAGGGAACAACTCTGTCCCTAAATGACACCGAAGCTACTTCTGTACAATTTGCATCCAAACTCTTTAAGGAGCAGAATTCACCTTTCTATTAGTTAACTGTGAATTCAAAAACCCTCCCTAACATCAGCTGGGAGCCAGACCTGTCCCAACTCATTCCTTCCCCACTCCTACATTTTAACCACTTCTTTTTGCGTTCTCAAGTTAAAATAACAACAGCTATGATTTTACTAATCAGAGCTAAAATTGCAGAGTGCTCACAGAAAGTATTTTTCTAATATATATATAGCCACTCACTGACAGTGTGTTTATTCTGCTTCCTTCTACTACTGTCTTCTAGAAATCCTTTGACTACACCACAAAGTTGTTAAACACCTGCGTTTCTATGCTTGGTATGGGAACTAGCATATCCTGGGGAAGAACAAGCATATTCAGCTCTCCTATGAGGTATGGCAAGTCCCTCAAAAACCTGGATAATAAAAAGCAGACACCCAGCACCTTCACCAAGGCAACGCGGCACCAGCTCTGAGCAAAACCAGAAGTAATCTTTATTACAACTTTATTAAGATATTAACAAAACTAACAACTCTCCTTAGTTTCAGTAACTGGCAGAGCAACCATCACCTCTTCTCTCTGCAATGTGCTGTCCCAAGACAGGAAAGAGGGTTATGAGTTGTTGGACCAAGGTGGCAGCTAACAGAGCCCTGGCCAGGTTTCATCAGAAACAAACAGCTCAGACACCTGCAGAGACTGGCTGAATGTCACACTACGCAGTTTTGGTATGCACAGCTGAGCGTATGTTTTCCCTGCCTTGTCAATACATAAACAGGTACATTATTTTCACATTCTTCTGCAAAAATCTAACAGAAGCACAGCACTGAGATTCTCTTTCACCTACCACTTCCAAAACAGATTTCAAACAGAGAATGCTTAATAAACAGGCTAAGTATAGAATCACAGAATGGTTTGGGTTGGAAGGGACCTCAAAGATCATCTAGTTCCAACCCCCCTGCCATGGGCAGGGAAATCCTCCACTACACCAGGTTGCCCAAAGCCTCATCCAACCTGGCCCTTGAACACCTCCAGGGATGAGGCAGCCACAACTTCTCTGGGCAACCTGTTCCAGTACCTCACCACCCTCAATGTAAAAAATTTCTTCCTTACATCTAATCTAACTCTCCCCTCTTTCAGTTTAAAGCCATTGCCCCTTGTCCTATCGCTACATGCCCTTATAAAAAGTCTCTCTCCAGCTTTCTTGTAGGCCCCCTTTAAGCACTGGAAGGCTGCAATAAGATCACCCTGGAGCCTTCTCTTCTCCAGGCTGAACAGCCCCAACTCTCTCAGCCTGTCTTCATAGCAGAGGTGCTCCAGTCCTTGGATCATATGCGTGGCCTCCTCTGGACGCGCTCCAGCAGCTCCATGTCCTTCTTGCGTTGGGGACCCCAGAGCTGAACACAGTATTCCAGGTGGGGTCTCATGAGAGCAGAGTAGAGGGGCAGAGTCACCTCCCTTGACCTGCTGGCCACACTTCTTTTGATACAGCCCAAGATACAAGTAATAGGTTGCAAGGTTAAAAGGTTGCAAGTAATACAGACTTATACCATATAAGAATTTAATGGATGGGAAAATATAGAGCTACCCACTTTTATAGAGCTACCCACTTTTTTTAAAAGTATCTTCTACAGAAAAGTTTGGTGCTTCCATCTGAAGTCCTGTACTGTCAAAGAGGTTCAGCATGGGCAAAACAACCTTCCCCTATTGCGCTGATACCATAAAAGTTTCACACTGAGTAAACATCCTAATAGGAAAAAAAAAAAGGAGGTCTTTCTGTATCTATAGCTACACTTGCAATTTGTTAATAGCTGCTGGGAGAGTTGGCATTTTAATTCTTCCCCAAGAATTAGAAAGAAGCACTTAATTTCACCTTTGTTTATGCAAAATACTGTTTCTAGTAAAACCAATCTGAATTTAACTAGTAACCTGGGGGTAAAGGTACGATACCCACCACTACGCGAACAGAGCCACATCATTTTGTTTCACGAAGACTGAGCCAGTGTGGCTACCAATACAATGCATTAAACACAAAGTAGATTAAAAATTAAGCTAGAAAAAGCAAACATGTTCAAACTCTAAAAAGAGGCAATTTAAAATCATTTTAAGTATGAATGTTGTTCAAATACCCTCTGTGCTGTCATTGTGAACTTAAAACACCAAAACATTTTGTAACAGTTTAAAATTAAATTGAAAAAGCTGTAGCTTTTAATGTAACAGTTAAACTCTTTCTTTCCCAGGAAAATTAGTGTATTTAAAACAGCAGTAATAGTGAGCTAAATTCTTGCTTTTGGGCAGCAACACAGTAATTACGGTAAAAAAGTGCCTTGAAACTTGTCATTGCTTGAGTAAAAATGCCCAAGGCAACGCTAAACTGACACAGCTTCATTCTGATTCTGTTTTTTTTAAATTGTGAATTATACTCTTACATATTTTAATACATGTTGGAAAAAAGCCATTCAACTCTGCAACTTTGCGTTCCTCCTTGAGTAGATGATGAGACAAACACATGAGCCTGGGGACAGGGTGTATAAATGAATCACAAAAGGTATATGCTTAATTAAAGAGCGCTGCTGTCACTTTTTCCAGGTAAAATTCATATAGCCCTCATCTGAGTCAAGTATGAATCAGGGTCCCTATGCCAATGTAAGGAAATACATGGTGTTTAGCACAAAGCAGCTGAAAGAGCCATCTGCTGAACTGCTTCTGACAAGGTCTATCATTCCACCTAACCTGTGACAAGCACACCAAGACAAGAGGCCAAGGAAACAACAGCGATTCTTACAAGTTTTAGCTTTGCAACCTGCATATGCCAATGTCTTACTTGTTTATGTTGCTGCCTTCCTTCAGGCGTTCTCCTGCAGCTCCCGTTTTGGACACTCTCTCGCTTCCAGCCAAATCCACCAGGCTGACCTTGCTGACCTTCTCTCCAGAATTCTGCGCAGATGCGAGATGGGAGAACAACAGCTAAGAAACACCCGCACAAAGTGCTAACACATCTGCAACTCGCACCATGAAACACTGTTCTTCATAATAACATGGGTTAAAGTATCGAATTCAAGATATGAGAGAAGAAGGAACTGTCAGAGTTTTTATAGCTCTTTAAGAGTCTTTCATATGTTTCATAGTAAAGGGCTGAAGCACTAATGAACCAGAATCAGCTGTGTAGTAACATCAATAACTTTACCGGCAGAGTAGGTCATTAAAACATATCAACTTCGGCAACAGTTAAGACCTAAGACAGGTTTCATGGTGGTAATATAATTAAATATTTTTAATAAAATTAAAAAGCGATGCAACTGTTTTCTTTATCTGCTGTGCTTCCTCACTCTTCCAGGGTTCTCTTGATCTTACAGTCTTGCCAATATTACTTTGATTACTGGACCCCACAGCACTAAAGACAGAAGCACAGCTACACAGATAACGTATGTGGAAGAGGAGAGAATAAGAATTCACCACAACTTCATAAATTAATCAACAGAAATACATACACCAGAATGCAGGTCATAAAGTGTCTGAGTCACTATAATGTTAAATACAGCATGAGAGCGGCTGCTTTCTTCATTCATGTTGGTTGCAGCAACTGTTCGTGACTTGTTTCCCTCCGACATCAGTGACTCAATATCCTAGAGCAAAAAGCGTGAAAAATGATGATAGGATAAAAGCAAGTATTGTGC